AAAGCACAGTTAGCAAGATAAGGACAGTTAGCAGGAAGCCTGCCACGGCCATGCGGTTTGCAAGCAATATAAGTGTCTGTGTTTACTTGGTTGGGTCTGAGCGGCTGTGGGACTGGCGGGTGACAGAGGTTTGTCCTGACTGTGGGCGAGGCGGAAAAATCAAGCTACAGACTTCTTTCTGTAATTATAGTTAATTGAATAGCTGCTTTCAGTTCTTCAGTTTTTGTTTCCTTTGAAAATATTATTTGTGTGTGTGTGTGTGTGTGTGTGTGTGTGTGTATTCATGTAGGGCAAGAGGGGTCATCATATCCCCTGGAGCAGGAGTTTTAGGCAGTTTTGTGAGCCGCCCACCCCACATGAGTCTTCTCTAAGAACGGTATACATCTCTAACCACTGAGCCGTCTTCCCACCCCTCACAGTTTAGTTTTTTGCTAAACTATTTTTACTTTGTGTTTTTACTTTGAAATTGTTTCTTCACCTAAGACTAGATATTTTCTTGTGTCTTCTAGTTTTGTTTTTTTCAAGACAGGGTTTCTCTATATAGCCTGGGCTGTCTTGGAACTCACTCTGTAGCCCAGGCTGGCCTCAGACTCACAGAGATTCCCGAGTGCTAAAAAAGGCATGCGCCACTGCCAGCACCACTACCATGTGGCTATATCTTCTATGTTTAAATATTGCTGTAACTTGAGTTTATATTGATATGTAACGATACAATTCTTGTATTAATTTCCAGAAAGACAGCACACTGGATGCTGCTGAAGAAATCATCAAGGCATGGAACAGCCAGCGGTCTTGATGTAAAATAGGTGTGAGTGTCCCAACCTCTTGCAAGGGCTCAGTACTCAGTGCTGCCACCTTGTGGGCACTATAAAGAAAACATTTCAGGACAAACATCACTGTCTTTCCAAAATTCACCCTATTCCTAACACTGTTTAGTAAATTCTGGTTTTATTCATTTGGAATATATTAAAATACTTTCCTGTAATTTTGTGAGAGTCAGTTTCTCTATGTTGTATTTTCTCATCAGTGGAAACAGAAATCACATTTCCATTTACTGGACCGGGTGTGGTGGCATATGTCTGCAATACCAGCACTTGGTTGGGAGGTGGAGGCTGGCGGTCATCCTGGGCTACATGAGACTCTCTCTCAATAAATGAGACAGACGAACAAAAGCCACACATACTTCACAGGAAGCTGGACTGTGAGGATTGCTGGCTCCGTCTATAGAGAGCATGGTAAGCTGCAGACACGTGATGTGGGCAAGTTTCACTTCCCCGAGGTGTTAGCACCCCAGCAGCGATGTGGGTGCCTGTTGCTCCCTGCCAAGGACACTGAACTTTGCTCCTGGCTTTGCTTCTCTGTTCCCAGCGCTTCCATGCCTTGGGGTGGCTTCAGGGTCCATAAGGGCAGCCTAGGTTTCTCATCCCTTGGCCTTGTTGCCTCTGCTGATGTTCACCTCTACTCCAGCTGAGCCACCCACTCCCTTGGCCACCCCGTGGAACTGTCGTCACTCAAGGCAGTTTCACCTTTGAGATGTAAGTTCCTCATCTCACTGGACTGCCTGTCCTCTAGCTCATGGTTTCCCAAACACCCCATCATCCAGCTCGTTTTCATGGCTGTTCTCTCTCTCTCTCTCTCTCTCTCTCTCTCTCTCTCTCTCTCTCTTTTCCCCTCCCTCTCCCTTTCTCCCTCTCCCCCATCCCCCTCCCTCTTCCCCCTCTTTCAGTCCTTCTTTGAATGTACTGCAATTCCAAACCCAATGTTTCTCAGAAAATGGTCCACAGTCCTCTTACATCAACATCAGCTAAGAGCCTTTTTAAAACAGAGATTCAATTCAGGACCTTCCCCTGAGAGCTAATAATCTCAGGACCTGACCCCTCTGGGGTGATTTTTACACAGATGACAGTTTGATCACCTCTGCCGGAGTGCACAGGACCTTCAGTGTGACTGCTGTTAGGTCTCACAAGCACGCTCATTTCCTCACCTACCCTACGTTTCATTGTTCTGTCACTCTGGCCACACTTTGACTTATTGCCATGTTGTTTGAACTTGCCTAGCTGGCCAAAAATGAGAACTCCACCCTGGGGTTGAAGTTCTGTGCCCACACCAGGGCTGCTGAGCACAAGCAGGCATGCACTGGCAGCTGTGAGTTCACATCTACATCCTTCACCTTGGATAGACATCTCTCTGTGTCTGTCACCCCCAGTGAGTTTTCTCTACCTGTGACCACATCATCCATTGCTAATTTCTCTAGGATAAGAAACAAAAATCCACTCTCTTGTCTTCCCACATCACAGCCCACCACCAGCACCGCAACTGAGTCACAGCAGAGTCACCTGCTCAAGGGAAAAACAAAAAGACAGATAGGAACTGCTTGCAGTATACCTGACCTGGCATTTGTCCTTTCTTCATCCACATAGTGACAAAGGTCATCCCTGAACCTGTCCAGGCCACACAAGTTGGGGGTAGTGATGGAATAGTTGTTGGTTAAAAATTGGGTCCTCAAAAGGAAAGCTCGCCGGGCGGTGGTGGCGCACGCCTTTAATCCCAGCACTCGGGAGGCAGAGCCAGGCGGATCTTTGTGAGTTCGAGGCCAGCCTGGGCTAC